TGCACAGAAATGGTTCAAGCGTCTCAAAAATCAATAAATTTTCATAATAGCCACAAAACCAGATCAAAAACACAAAAAAAATATATAAAAAATCATTATTTTAACACGGCGCACGAACTTTTTCCTCAACCTAATAAGTTTGCGCGTCAAAAAAGCCACATGTATAGAGTTAACAAACAAAAGACAAGCTCATGTGTCAACGAAAAAACGATGCTCATGTACCTTCCAAGTAAAGTCAGTAAAGAACTTTTCTTGTATTTCCAAAAATAACTTACTCGATGCTGATTATTCTGTCGCTTTTGTTCATTATCAAATTTTTCTTGTAATTTTAATGCTGCTAAATAACTTTCATCTTCGTCAATAGCACCTTGAGAATATTGATTTAGTTCATAATCACCTTCTTCTGTTTCATGATACATTGTTTATGATCGAAAAAAATCTGTAACAAAAGAGATAAGAAAATTATCTTTAATTGATCACAAATCTTTGTTTTATGTATGCGATCGCTCTTTTTATATTGATGAGTTATGAATTAGTTCAATGATCTAGCCTTTATGCATACATGTGTGTTACAATCTATTGTTTCGTGATTTAAAGCAAAGAAACTTTGAAACAATATCCAACAGACAATTTTGTTTCAAGAAATGGATGTCCAAGTTTTCTTCTAGAAAATGACTCGAGATGACTCGAGTCAATTTTTGATGAGACTCGGACTCGGACCTCGACTTGAAGGCTACTGACTCGGACTCGATTCAGACTCGAAAAGTTGGTGACTCGCCCATCTCTGCAATAAATACGAAAAGACAAGTTTTATATTTTATCGGATGTATAATCACATACACAAAGAAGATTATGCTCGCTGTAATTTCCTGTATTTTCTGTGAACCATATTTAGTTAAAGGAAAGCGGATTTTAATGTTCAGAAAACCGTTTAAAACTCTTCTTTACCACCTTCTTAACTTATTCCCTTGGCTGTAGTCTAGAGTGTTATGAAATGATTGTCTGTCTGTGTCTTTGCTCAAATTATGGAAAAATGGCTGTCTGATATTCCATGGATAGGTCAATCACAAGAGAGAAAAATAGAAAATTGCTTTTACACGAGAGGGAAAATATTCACAGAGATAACCAAAATAATATTTACTGATGTAGAGAGAAAAAGAGCTCAGCAAACTTTTTCTGTAGTTAGATGTCGCCATAGAGAGCAGTCAGTTTCGATAACATTCAAAAAAGTCATCCACGGATAATAAAAGTTACAGAATATAGATAATCTATCATGGCAAATCCATTCAAAATACTTACAGTCCCCTGCGGATCTTCAGAAGATGTCCAGAAAACGTTTTAGCTTTATGTTACATTGTGCGCTTTTTTCGTGGAATTAGAGTAGTTCACAACATTTCTCACTTTTCCTCAGTGCGAACGCCTCCCTTCGGTTGGCGTGAGCATTGATTTCAATTCAAAAGTCTTTTCAGATCGCTGGAGATCTGTGAAGGGTTCCGCAGAAACCTCTTAGCTTTACATTATATTAGGAAGCTTTTTGTTAGTTCATGATAAATAATTTCATTGTGTGAGGTACTACTGCTACTCTGGATGAGAAAATAAACATTTCAACCGATCATGGTAAAATAGAGACCTGTCTTAGTGAGTGTACAGACGCTAGGTATCCAAGTATTTGCAGTTTTCTTAGGTGCCTATGCGGGTATCCTGCTACATGAATGTCATAGGTGCTTGAATTTTTTTCAAGGAAATATTACTTGAGAGGTATCGCATCACTCACGCTGACAAGCATAGGTATCAAGGTTTTTTTTCGTTGACCAGTTTATTTTGCGTTCAGACATATATAAAAGAAAAACATATGCTTACAAGAATGGCGTGCGTTTTTATCTTCACACAATCACCTAAAATGGCTAATCGTTTAGGTATCCGCTAAATAATATTTTACTTGCAAGCACTTATGGCATTCCTGTAGCAGCGTACCTAACTCGGTTATCTATACTAAAGTACATTCACTAGGTGTGTATCGGAATCTGCTCAAGTCCTTCGAGTTCCGATATTTGGTTCCTGGAGGATCCGGCGATTGGATTCGATATCCGGAACCAGTCGGATTCGTTAATTTCTGGTCACCGGAAATTGATGGATACTGTAATGTGCACTTTATTTTCTGTGCGCATAATATATTCACCGTTTTGTTTCACGACAAGAGCACTTTAAATACGACATACAGAAAATGAAAACTGAGAAAGTCCAATTCTTAACAGTGTGAGTCGTCGCTCTCACTGTTCGACAGACGTGTTGCACACATCCTAGCTAGTGGGCTCTTCCACTCTCTCGAATGAACAGAGAGAAGGACCACTAGAAAATGAAAGAAAAAATTTAAAGCTATTTCGAGGCTTAAAACACCTGAAAACTGGTCACATTCTCCCAAATCCAGCGAAATCCGATGTCTGAAACTCGAAGGATACACTGGCAAATCCTGTCATTTTCTGAGATCAGATTTGAGTTATCCAGCGATTTCCTACCTCAGAATCTTAACCCAGCTAATTCCGTCAGGGTTCCTGAACAAAGGATTCCTGGTAAGATCCAGCTTGGATTTCATAGTACCAGGGAGGATGCTGGAACATCTTGTCATATCCGGCCTTAGGATCCGGCAGGACTCTATCGGATCCTTCTGGATTCTCAGACTGGATTCTATGACCTGGGTTAGGTACATCTGGTCATTACATGACATTTGCTCGATATACACAAAGCCGATGGAACTTGTTAAATGATCAACAAATTACTCAAATGAAATGGAACAACGTATAGAACCGATGCATATTCGATTAAATATAATAGTGTATGCTCGAGGTGAAACAGATAGCAAATCACCATTTTGGACGAATAATTAAAAAACCAAAACATTTTTATTTTTAATTCGAAGATTTTATAACCATAAATCGAAAATATGTTTAATATGATTATTATCGATAAAAGCAGAAGATTGAGGAGATTAGTATTATTTGTAGAATATCTATTTAAGCTATTATTTTGACATTCTTTGACATATATAAGCTATTATTTTATTAACATCAAGGATATTTGTCAATGAACGAATATTTTTAACTGTTATAACATTATCTCTAAAATAAAGTACTTCTAATTTTGTATTTGTTTTAAAAAATCACATAAATTGGCAATATCAATCTCTAATTTGTCTAAATTTAAACTTTCCAATTTATGATTTTTAAATATTGATTTTATTTTTGTCTGTTCACAATTTACATCACAACAATCGTCAATAATCAATATTTCTAGTGTTGAATTCAGTTCAACAGCTTTTATTTTTAAATTGAAATATATCAATGAAAAATTATTTGACTACAATCAAATTCGAATAATATTTTGTTTGACCTTAAATAGTTACTAATAATTATCGGTGCAGATATTTTAAACGATACAAACGACGTAAATGTAATATTTTTATATTTGAATTTAAATATTTTTGATAAAATCAATTTTAATTGTTCATCATCCATTAAACATTCAAATGAAATATTTAATGCACTTAGATGTTGAACTTCTTCACAAATAATTCACAATCGTCCATTGTAACTTCTGCTTGGTTAACACTACTGTATTATTATCACTTTGAACATAATCCAATGTCAACCGTTCAATATCTGGTTCACTATCAAATAGAATCGATGGGTAAATAAAATAAAATGTTTAATATTAACTGCATTCAAAAATTCATTTAACGCTTTTGCCTGCTCATCAGTTAGTTCATATGTTCTAATTCTACGTTCAATAAAATCGAATTGTTTGCCATGCAATAAACATCTTAGTAAAATGTGTAGCAGATGTTTGAGTAAAATCTTCAATTTTAACTACGAAAAAGAAAGAACATTTGTGCAATAAACATGTCAGTGGATTCTTCTTTACTCTTATGTAAGGCACAAAGGACAACGCCGGTTTTCAAAGATCTCTGCACTTTGATTTGCTTTGATATTGTGAAGTAGAGAATTAGAAGGCGCATATGCCTGGATAGTTTTTAGAATTTACTGCTGTATGGTTGTTGAGAAAACTAAAAAGTTTGATCAATGGGTACCGATGTGATACCTACCGCAACTCTCTAGCTATTGTTAGTCAAAAAATGGCTTTTGTGGGCGCACACAGTAATAAACCGCTTAGAAATGCAATATATCTAAAAATGAGTTAAAATAATTGGTAATTAGTAACGTTTTGGGAAAGTAAGTACAGGATTTTGCAGTGCTTGAAAATCTCTATCAAATGATATATTCCTGCACGATTCTAAGAAATCGGTAACTTATAAATAAAAGTGTACGGCACCAGAGTGACACTAATTAGCATTAATTAGCACTTATTAACAATCTAACGGTCGAGAGGGACCAAATCCTATTCAGTTTCATTTCCTGATTACAAATATGATATTGGGATTACTAGAAAAACGTTAGGAGTTGAAAAAATTCAATTTTTTCGTTGAAGTCACCGAGAAGTCTAGTCTAATTTTAACAATAAAAAATGCATAACTCCTCATGGACAATTTTGCTTGCCACTAAAATTTCAGGTTGTGCGAATGTTTTTATGCGAGTGGGGTCTTGTTTGAAGGTCAGTTAATGGAGGTTTAACATTTTTAGTTACCATGGGATTTTAAAAAAACCTTTTCCAACTGTCTAATCGAATTGTGGTCGAAACCTAGTGGGTTGTAGGTTATCGACCATGCTGAATCCGAATATCAACATGAGACGGGCTCTTAGGGCTTCAAAGACCGTTTTTTAGAAAATCGTTTTTTCAGAAATCTCGCAAAGTCCCCAAAAGCTTTCTCTCAATAGATCAAGATTGCAGCCCACAAAATTCTGATCAAAAGGAGACATCTCCCACATCTGCATACCCTTTCTTGCAAAGTTATGCAATTTACAAGAAAAGTCCTAAATGTTCATTGTCAGCTCAAAGTTACAGAAATAAATAGAAATTAATTTAGGGCTTTCGTTGTAAATTCTATAACTTTGCAAATGAAGGTCGTGTACAAGTGCCTCATTTTGATCAGAATTTCGTGAACTACAATCGTGATCTATTCAGAGAAGGTTTTAGGGACTTTCCGAGGTTTCTTGAAAACTGGTTTTCCAGAAAACCGCTCTAAGAAGGCCTAGTGGCCCGTCTCATATGAATATTCGGAATTAGCGTGGTCGATAACCTATAACCACTAGGTTTCGACCAGAAAGCGATTAGACAGTTGAAAAGGTCCCCCGTTAGACTTATATCATACCGCAAGTACATCTACAGATGCACAATTATCTGCTCTATCCAACAGTGAAAAGCGTTTTTCAGAAAGTTGGAAGGCTATTGAGAAAAACATTTTTTACTGTGTAGGTATCGCATCGGTACCCATTGATCAAACTTTTTAGTTTTCTCAACAACCATA